GACTAAAAGAAAATGTTGAAGTGGGCTGAGGATTTAGCTCAGTGGCACCGTGCCTGCCTCGCAAGTGCAAGGTCCTGGGTTCGATCCCCAGTACCAGAAAAAAAAAAAAAAAAAGAAAAGAAAATGTAGAGGAAATACTTGAAGCTATCATAGGCATGGCAAAAGCTTCCCGAAGAGGACTCCACCAGCACAAGAAACAGTGGCAAGAATCAAAATAGGGGACCACATCAAATTAGAAAGTTTCTGCACAGTAAGGAAAACAACAGAATGGAAAGACAGCCTACAGAATAGGAAAAAAATCTCTACCACCTATTCTTCTGACAGAGGATCAATATCTAGAATATATAAAGAGCTAAAAAAACCCCACCAAAACATCAAGTAGGCCAATCAATAAATGGGCAAATGAATTGAACATTTCTCAAAAGAAGTAGAAATGCAGTAAGTATGTGAAAAAATCTTTGGCCATTAAGGAAATATGAATCAAAACTACCTTGAGATTCTATCTCACCCCTGTCAGAATGATCATCATCAAAAATACAACAAATAATAAATGCTGGTGAGAATGTGGAGAAAAAAGAACCCTTCTACACTGCTGATGGGAATGTAAATTAGTACAGTCACTATGGAGATCAGTAAAAATAGAGCTACCATTTGATTTGGCTATAACACTCCTTGGAATATACTCAAAGCAATTAAAGTCAACATACTATATAGCCAACATATGGAACCAACCTAGGTGCCTATCAACAGACACATGGATACCAGAATATATGGTACGTATACACAATGGAGTATTGTTCAACCACAAAGAAGAAGGACATTCTGTCATCTGTAGGAAAATGGATGGATCTGGAGATCATGATGTTGAGCAAAATAAGCCAGATTCAGAAAGACAAATATTTCATGTTTTCTCTAATAATGTGGAATCTAAAAAAGATGACAAGAAAATAGAAGGAAGACTATCATTAGACAATAGGAAGTCCCCCCAGGCGGGAGAGGAGAGTGTAAGGGCAGGTAATGGGGGGATAAATATGATCAAAGCATGCAGAGTGTGCCCAAAATGGGTACACATGTTAGTAAGAGGAAAATAGCATGGGCCCATTCAGTCCCTGGTACAAGAGAAAAAGCAAGCAAGCAAGCAGGCAGGCAAGCAGGCAAGCAAGCAAGCAGGCA